CAGAGAAAACATCCTCCTGATGTGAGCTTGCATTGGCTTCCGGCAACCACAGTCGTACGTCTGCTGTTGCCTGGTGCTTCTTGCCTAGGGACTGTCTGGGGGATGGCGGCACCCGCCTTCTCCCCTCTTTCTTTCCAACCTCCACCCACCTAGGACTCAGACAGCCCAGACACTCCATTCCCATCTATTCCAGAAGACCCAGATGCAAGAGAGTTAGGGAAAGACAGAAAGACAGGAAAGTAAACTGGGACCTGCTCCTGCCACAGACACCCAGGCCTAGATGCAAGACAAAACCACTGCACACCCAGCTGAGGCTGCAGCCTTTCTGCTGCCTGAGAGCCCTCACCAGAAGTCCCCACATGTATGTGCAGTGGGGAACAGTCCCACAGGGCCCCAGCAGGTAAAAGTGAAGAGCTGGGGACTGAAGAAAGAAATAAGGATCAGGAGCAAGAGCCAGGGCAGAGCACTGAGCATTCTCACAGTGAGAGTGCTGTAGGCATGTGTGCCCCAGGCTGGGTAAGGCGGCTCCACTGTGCATCGCCACCTGAGCTCAGACCCACCTCAAAGGCAGGATTCTGCTTCCAGGGGCAGAAACCATAAGCGAGGCATGGAGCCAGCGAGCTCAGCATGGCTCCGCACCTTGGGGCTTTCATCAGGCCAGGCAGCCCTGGAGGTCTGACACAGGCTGGACCTCTCCACCTGCGAAAGGGGCAGTGTCTTATGCAGAGGAGGGAGATGGGAGGGAGCAGGCTGGACAGTCTCCCTCAGAGAGCCCCAGTGCCAGGCCAAGCACCTGGGAATAACTGCAGTTTCCTCCTTGTCTGAGTGCTCAGGGCTGGCCCAGAGCAGGCCACTACTTGGGAAGGGGAAGGGGTGGGAAAAGCAGAGGGAAGCAGGAGCAGAATGGGAGAAGTGCTCATGCTAGTCAGCTCTCCCACCCCTGGACACAACACCGGACACCGCAGTTTAAAGGAGGCGTGGTCTAATTTGGCTCAAAGTTTCAGGGGCCTCAGTGCACAGTTAGCAAGGCAGAAATAGCATGGTGAAAGGCTGTTGAGGAACAAAGGGGCTTAGTCTGTGGCAGCCAAGAGCAGAGCAGGGAACCACAGCCACAGAGGAAGGAGCCAGGGACTGTGGCCAGGCATAGCCCCAGGGCTACACTCCATGACTCGCCCAGACACACTGAGAAATGTGTGTCACCAATCCCGGAGGGACCCCAAAGCCAATCAGGTCAGCACCCTACCCTAACCACCACAGGAAGTGAGGGAGGAGAGGAAGGAAGAGAGACAGAGCTAAAGAAGGGAAGGAGGGAGACTTCAGAGGCAGGAAGACAGCAAGAGAGTGGAGGATGTGGGGAGGGGCATAAACAGGGATGCATGGAAAGTCACCCTGAGTCTTCCTAGGAAAGAACAGCCTCAAATTAAAGAGGGGTCGTATTAGAGAGAAATTAGAACTATGGAAATGGATGGGCCATGGTGTTCATGGCACCCAAACAGCTAGAACTCAGGTGGCTCCATCTCTTCTAGGCGGCTGTAGGGGTCTCACAAGGTGAAAGATTAGCGTGGCAAAGGGTGTCCCGGGCACTCAGGATCCCTTTGTCATCATGTTTTCAAGGCTGGATGAGTAGGTGACAGAGGGCCTAGGGAGCTGGGTCTCCCCACAGCACTGTCCTGACCTCCAGGCAAGCAGGGACCGGTTGAGAGTCCATGCCCAGGACTGCACCAGCATTGCACATGCCCTTGAGAAACAGCAACTGGACTTTCCAGGGTAGAATGGACGCATGCTAGAACTATGAGGGGAACAGAATGGCCTCCCCAAGGCAGGGTTGGCCTCATCCACCACTCTAAGCTCACAGATGCTGAAGCTCTGCACTGAGGTATAGAATGGTAGAGTGCTCAGCTAACATGCACAAGATTCTGGCTTTGAAGTCCAGTGCTGAAAAAGAAAGCAGGGAGGGAGGGAGAAAGAGAGAGAGAAAGAGAAACAGACAGACAGACAGACTCTGTGTGACTGAAGTGGACTGGAAACCACCTGTTGGCAGTCCCCACCCCCCCAGGCACTCACCAGCCTTCGGCTATCACAGGGCCTTTTCCTCCAGCACTCAGACTTGTTAAGACAAATTGTGGAAGGACAGTGTCCTTCTGACCATTTGGGAGACACACCCAATCAAAGAAACCAGGGGCCAATATATTGGGAAACCAACTGAAAAGTGCAAGAATCCTGAAAAAAGCCAACAGTGCTCACTGAGCTGACCTCACAAATCGTGCTGTGTTTGCCAGCGTCCTCGGAAAATCTCATTTGTCCGGGGCAATGATTATTGTGCTAGTAGGTGAAGGGTGTAGAAAATGTGTAACACAGAGAATCAGAGCCTTTAAAAAACAAACTCAAGTTATTTTGTCCCACTGTTTTAACAGTGGGAGTCTGGGCAAGGGCTGCCCCTCGCCCTCCTGGCAGCTCTGCTTGTCTTTTGGACATTGTCATTCTGTTTTTATAACACATGATTTGCCAGTGCAAACTTGGGTAGCAGCCATCATGTGCAAAATATTTTTTAAAATAAATGACAGTACGCTAGACTTTTGTAGTTCTTGTGATCTAAAGACATGAGACACTTGAAGTCTCGAAGCAAGCAGGGATCCACCTAGTGCAGTGAGAACTCTGGGGTAAAGGTAACACCCAAGGTGGATCGCAGATTCAAGTGTGCATTTTCACTGGTGCTAGAGTCTGCAAGGTTGTACGTTACACACACACTGCGATAGCATCGGAATGAAAAGGAGGTCCAGAGAAAGCTTCCTAAGAGTGTCATGGGTGTCTGTGATCTTACGTGGTATATCAACCCCAGAGAGAAAGAAAAGGAAGAAGAAACTATACCCAACAGGGTGCTGATGGCTTAGCTACCAGTTCTTTCACCGTGTTCTTTAACATTTTTGTATGTTGCATCTTTCTCACAAAAATAGCCTTCATTCTTGATTCAGCCTGCAAGCACTCCAGTACCTGGAAGCCTAATCCAGTAGGTACATCTGGAGAATCTGGAACCAGATTATCCGGGCCCAAATCCACTAGTCCATGTGGTATTCTGTGGTGTTAAGCAAACATTTTCATGAGCTTTAAAATATTATTGTCATCGACATCTATCCATGACGTTCTAGTGGCAGGGCATCACCTGCACCGGTCTACACAGGTCGCATCAATCTGCACATGACACTCAGCACAGAGGCCCACATGTGTGCTATCATCCAGGGCGGCAGGAGGTATTCAGTGCAATGATGCATTTATAAACATGCATTGTATTAGCTGCCTTCATGATTACTTCATTTAAATATATTAATATGCATTCACCAAGAAAAGAAAGGAGAGAAGAAAGAGGAGACAAACACAGAGAGAGTTTCAGCTACTCTCTCTCTCTCTCTCTTACACACACACACACACACACACACACACACACACACACCATCCAACATCTTCTTTCCTCTGCAGATTCTCCCAGCTCCTGGAGCTCCAACAGGTGGCTTTGCATTCATCTCCAGCCAGAGGAAGCCAAGTTTCCTTGGGGCTGCCAACTCAATATTCTCCAAGTGTCGCCTGGCAGGCCAGAGGGTCTGGCGGCCTGCTTTGTTCAATGTTCTGCTGAATTTACTCATTTAAGGGTACATTTTAAAGTCATTATGCCCTTTGTGTTTTATTACAGCATGTGATGGCAAACGGCCCTTCTGCCAGAACTCACCCCCGACAAGACTCCAATAAGGAAACCTCAAGATTTGGGGCAGCAAAGAGGTTAAACATTAAATAAAGTTGGGTACAAACACAGCTGAATTCTTTCTTTGGGCTTCTGCCTGGTGGAGGAGTAAATGTTTTTAAGAGCTAATAAATGGGAACAGGATGCTTTCTTTACTGGCAGAGTAATTAAGCTCCTATGGTTTTCCTGTTGTCTTGCAAATGCTTGGACAATTTGGAGAGAATTTTAAAAGTGGCACTCAACCAGGCCAAGCAGCCGCTCCAAGGACTGCTGATAAATCAGCAGAATGACCTTCTTAGAAAAGCAGTGCTCCGCCCCGCCTTTCCCGAAGGCTCTCTGGCTGCCGGGCAGCAAGGCTGACAGCACGCAAGCTCCACGTGCACTTCCCCTGCCAGCAGCAGCTACTTCCAGCCAGGCACAGGGAGTGAAACCAACACACACCGCCCAATAAAACAGACCGGTGCACTCAGGACGTTCCCCCTTCATCTTTCCAAAAGACAGCTTCGATCTGAGTTTTTTTCTGCTGTAAGTCTTTAAAAGGAATTGTGAATAGCGGCAGGAGGAGCGCCTTTAACTCTGATGTGGGCAGACGACACTCACTGGAATAGATGGCAGATGCCAGCCCCACTCAGAATTGCTCAGACCTATTTATATAGAGGCTGCCTTCCCATTTTTGCTCAGATCTTGCAGGTTCTATCACAGCCATGACAAAATGATGACTCACACTTGGGCGAAGTCTTGGTGTCATATTTGATATTAATACCCCCGTAGTGTGGCTCTGTCGAGCAATTAAGGGGAGAAAGTCCCCGCAGTAGCAGCCTCCCCCATCCTCCGGGACTACAAAGGGTAGGGCTGCATTGTGTAGGAAGGCTCCCGGCCTCCTGCAAGCTGTTCTGATAAGCAGCTGTCGGAGGGGGCGGGGCCAGAGGGGGAGGGGAGGCAGAGCGGCAGAGGTCACCGGCACCGGAGTGGATTGCAAGCCTTGAGCTGCCGTCTGTCTGTCGAGGACACCTTATCTCAAGTATGCCCCTGTCTTGCAAGTTTAAAATCTTCCTTAAAAGAGAGCAGCAGGAGTCAGGCTCAAGTTTACCCTAAAGCGCCAGCCGGCGTCCCCTCCCCCGCTACCAGCCCACGGAGCCTGCAATTTTCGCCCAACGGGACGATGGGAACAGGTGCCACCAACTCCACGGGGTCCCAGCAATCGTCTGAAACATCTGTCGCCGCATCCCAGAGACAAGGAGCCCCTACCCGCAATAAAAAGCATGGGTTTGTTTCAACAAGTTTATTGTAAAATTCAAAGCTTCAACAGCAGTATCCTCTAGAAATCGAAACCTTGCCCGATCCCTTTTGCAAAAGCAGAGCCAAGTCGTCAGGCTCCCGTGGCTGCACCGAGTCCAGACGGCCGGGCCGGCCCTCCCTGCCTCACAGGAACGCAGGTGCTGAGTCATGCCTACCCAGCCAGTCTGTCCTTCCCTGCTCCGAGGCCACCGTCCCCACCTCGCCTTCTCGAGCGAGCAGCCGCTCCAGCCGCTCCGTACACTCGCCAAGTCCTCGGCCCGGGCCAGCCTGCCCTGCCTTGGCCAAACACCTCCTGGGGAGGCCCGCTCCTGGCTCTCCGGGCCTCCGCCTGCCAGTCTCCACGCCGCACTCGGGTGTCCTCGGAGGGCCCCTCCACAGTGCCGGCAGTGCGCTAGGCGCCCCGGGGCGTCACCCCGTCCTCGACCAGACCAAGGCCCCCGCCGGGCGGTCACTCGGGAAGCGTGATGCTAGGTACCCAGTCGTTGACACTGCGGCTCTCCTCGCAGAACAAGCTAAGTTTCTCCAAGGCTGGGTCCTTCCACGCGTCCTCATTGGGGTTCTGTGGGAGAGCACAGCACGGGGTGAGCCGGGCTGGCCGCCATCCAAGACAGGGAGTGGGGGAGACAGCGCGGAGACAGCGGAGGCGGCACTCACCGAAATGAGGATGCAGTGCAGGTCGCCGGGCGCGCCCCCTTCTTCGTCGCCCGCACCCACGATCGCCGCCAGCCTCTGCACATCGCCTACGCGCACGATGTCGATGTAGTTCTCGCAGCAGAACGCCTGAATCAGCGTGAAGTGGATCTGCAGCGCGATGTCGCCCTCGTCCTCCTCATCTGCGGCCAGCACGCAGAAGGTCACGTTGTCGGGGTCCCTGCACAGAAGAGGGGAACCACAAGGTCAGGGTCCGCGCGCCGCCCGGAGTCTCCCTCCACCTCCCACTCCGAGTCACCTAGCCCAGTCCAAGCCGCCCAGCTCAAGCGGCGTCTATACTCACACGTTCAGGACTTTGGCGGACTCATAGACGCCGGCGGTGAGGCAGCCCTGGCGCTGAGCCGATAGCAGCAGCTCGTGCAGCGCTTTCCCGGCGCCCTGCATCCTGTGAAGAGCGGAGCCGTGAGCTGCGACCCTTAGGCCCCGCGTCCAGAGCTCCAACCCGCTCTCTTGCCAGCACCCGGTGTCCGAACCCCTGCCTCCCGACCCGGCCGGGATCCCGCAACCCTGCCTCAGGCTCCCCAGTCCCAATCGAGGGCTGGCACCGAAACTGCCCAACCTCAGCAGCGCACCCCTGGCTGCCCGACCCCGGCACGACCCTTGAGCTCCGCTGACACCCGTGATCGGCCCGCACCCAGAGGGCTCCCACCCCGTAACTACCCAAGCCCTCTGCGCCCGGACGCCCACCTGGCAGTGCTTTCCGGAACTGAGTCCTGGCCGCGGACTTCTTCCAGAGTCATGGTGCCCTTGACGAGCTGCAAGTTATCCAAAGCCACGAAGCGCGAAGAGAGCTGGAGCGCAAAGAGAACTGGAACGCAAAGGCGGAACCAGCCACCGGGACCAGCGCGCCCACCACCAGCGAGTGCGCCGGCTGCCGAGGCGCCGAGCTTATATAGGCTGGTGAGCGCGGCGCCGCCAGCTGGCGAGAGGCTGTGCGCCCATTGGCCAGCGCTCGCTTTCTGATGTAAATGAGGCGGCAGGCCTGCGGCTCGTGCCAGGAGGCCACGTGGGGAGGGCTACGGCGGGGGGGGGGGGGGGCGGCTGACAATGCCTCAAATCTGCGCTTTTGTCGGAGTGTTACCAGGCAGACTGGAGCCTGCAGATTTCATCTCCCCTTTTTAAAAAAGTCCTTAAAAGGAAAAAGAAAAAAAATGTTGCTTGCTAATTGGCTGCAATTTGTGAAATGCACACTTGCAGACTGTAAAAGAATCTTGCTTTGCATTTATTTTTACTACTACCTTCCCATTTTTCTTTGCCTTTTAATTTGAGTGCATAGGGCTGTTGGATTGAAACCGAAAATTAAAGGAAAAGCAAGCATTAGTCCTCTGGGGCTTGCCAAGGCCAATCGGTACAGCCCTGATGCCGACCCCGGACCGCCCGAACCCACCCAGCGGCCGCCCGCGGCGGGGCAGCGGGGCGGCGGGGCGGCGGGACGGCGGGTGGGGGCGAGGACAAGCAGATTGCGGCCGGGGCACGCGGCTCGTTTGCATTTCTATGGGGGCGCACAATAGCGAAGGTCTGGCGTGTGGCAGTTTGGAGGGGAGACAATCGAGGCTTTCTTTGCCTAGCAACACTGTCCACCTGCCGCTGGATGGGGTGGGCAGGGCCCGCCGCGCGTGGGGGTCGCCTGGCGCGTGGGCATGCGGGCTGTTTGCAGTCCTTGACCCGGGGGTCGCGTCCCCTGGCCTGGCCCGTCCGCTTGAGGTTCGATTTACGCGCTCCTGGCACTCGTGCGGAGCAGCCTGGCGAGCTGCAAGGAGCACGGGGCTGTGGGGCTGGAACACCGCAGCTCCTGTTCCTGCTGCGGGACTGTGGAACGCGGCTCGCGAATCCCATTCCCGGGGCGCCACCTACAGGCGAGCACAACGGACGCGGCTCGCCTCGGCACCCACCCCTGCACAGCTACACCCGCCCTCCCAGGGACTCGACCTGGGCCCCCTAGTGCAGAGCTGCCAGCAGTACCGAGTCCAAGATGCGGACCGATGAGACTCAGACCCAACTTAACCTGCAGAACGCGCTCGGGTGTCTTCCTGCGGCACAGATTTCCACTCAGGACCAGTAGGGTAAAAGCCCGTGTCTTATGCGATTTTTAAATAGTATGTGCTGTAAAGATGGTTTCTGGTTATAAAATAATACAAGTGGAAGCGGTCTTGGGAGCTTTGGACATGGTCGTTGGCACCTGACCCCTGGTACAGCCAAGACGCGCCTGCTCTCGGGCCCCCGCGGACGCTGCACGGGTGTGGAGGGAGACACGCACTGGCTTCCTCTTTCCTTGGAGAGGGCTGGGCTCTTGGTGACTGCGTGGATTCTCTGGAAACTCTCAAGCCTGTAGCGAAAAGGAGGACGTTGCCTGGGCTTTCCTCAGATGGTCGCTGGGTGCTAGCCCCGTGCCCTTCTGAACCATTGCTCCTGCGCCCGGAGGCTGCCAACGCCGCTGTCAGTGACAACCTGGCGCCTCGCGCCCCCCAGCGGCTGCTGAGCGAGGCGACAGCTCATCCCGCGTGGCGCGCAATTCCTGCAGTTGGCTATTTGCTTGCAGCCCTCATAAACCCGGGACCAGGGTGGTGGAGAGAGGGAGGGGCGGCACAGGTTCTCCGTGTGTTTACCGCCGTTCCCTTTCTTTCTTTCTTGGTGGTGTATAAAATGATCATGGGCCTTAACTGAATAAAATACTTGCTGAAGTGATTGGAACTTAGATACGGCTCTTGTTATTCAACACTTCTCACAGAGTATTTAGTTCCAGGTCCCCAGGAAATGTTGAAAGCAAGGTTTAGCAGGAAACTAAGCATCCCTCGATGTATGACACCAGAAATCTTCGCACAGTCCAGGCCTGAGGAAACAGGGCCTGCTCTCTCGGGAAGTCCGGGGGGGTTCAGGAGGAGAGGGGCAGCCAGTGTGGGCAGATGGGATGGTTGACAGCCCCCTGGGGCCCTTGGCTTTGCGCACACATCTGAGGTATTTGATTACAGGAAACCCTCATTTCTTGGGTTAGGGCTTTGTTAGTTCAGTCCCAATGGCCCCACCTCAATGAGGACAGGAAGGTTGTACCTGGGGCAGAGTGGGCCTGCAGGGGGACCCAGCACCACTGCAGGTCACACAGGTGCCTAAGCCTGCCACATTCCAGGTAGGCTGGCCGGTGGCTTCTAGAATGGGCAAATGGCCTGCTGCCAACTGGCTGGGCTGCATATCACAAGCCAGGTGACATCACCTGCGGGTGGCTGCACCAAGGCCGCCTTCCCACCTGAGTCAGGTAGGGAGCAGTGGCCCTAACCCTAACCCTAATCCACAACCAGTACCAGCTCTTCTGAAGGCTGAGGCAAGAGGATGCTTGAGCCCAGGCATTCAACTCAGCAGAGAAGCTTAGTAAGACCTCATCTCAAAAACTGAAATCTCAGGTATGATTAGAGTTTGACTGTCTTATTACTGCCTTCTCCCAAATATGCTTCTCAATGACTTTCCTGGCCTGACCAGGACATCAAGGGGAACACACTTCACCTGGCTGAGCAGGGCAGAGACCCAAAGTAAGCAATGAGCTCTGGGCGACCTTCCCTCTGGCTGTCACTCAAATGACACCTTGGAGGGTGCACGAGTCTCACTGCAGGGCAGCAAGTGCCCCTTTCCAACCCCCCCACACACCAGCACTGGCATGCACTGGCTGCAGGTGGGGTTTTCATGGCCTGCAGGATATTCCGGAAAAAGCCAGTATCACTACCATCTCTCTAAAATCAGTATTCACAGAAAAATACAGACTATTGGCTTCTCATGGTTACTGAAAGGACTCCACTACCAGGCACCTGCAGTCTGCAGCACCTCCATGGTGCTGGGGTGCCAGGGTGCTGGGGTGCCAAGGCTCACCACTCGAGACACTGCCATGCAGTAGGACAGTCCCACCAGACTGCACTGGGGACTTTGCTGCCTGCCTCCCGCATTGGGCAAGGGACTCATCCTGCATTGGGCGGCAGGTTACTTGCAAGGTGAGGTCACCTGTTGGGGCTGCACCTTTAGGCTTCCTCTGAATTTTAATAATGCAGGCAGAAGATCACATTTGTAATTTTTGGAAAGAAGCTGAAGTATTAAACCCAAGGGATCAGAGTCCAACCAATGGAGTCAAAGAAGTTCAGCGTCTTTTGTCTCTCAGATCCTGCAAGACAGCATCCGCAAGGGCAGCACGGGGGCTGTTTGAGGCACCCTGGGTTGGCTCCTTTCTAAATGCTTCAGTGTTGCTGTCACTCTCCCGCTCTGGCCAACCTTATCCAACCCCTCCCCATACAGAACACGTCCCTGTGCTTTCAGAAGTGTTGGCGGTTTTTGCTGTTTTTTGTTTTCAAAAACCTCCAGTGTGATCAGACAGGCAGTGAAGATTCCTGTGCCACTCTACCTTAACTCAAATGGGGACCTAAGCTATACACAAGACAATTCCTGTTACTAAGAACCCAGCAACGGCCTCACAAATGCATCCCAGGGTCTGGACAGTTACATTGGCCTGTACCTCTCATGTCCTCAAACCTGTGTGCTCCCCGCCCGAGGATGAAATGTGTACCTGCAGATGGAGGATGCTCTCGATGACAACTGAAACAGGAAAAGGAAGCCAAAAAGGGGAATTCTGGGATGGCAAGGCTGGGCATCCATGGGAGAGAGCATTCTAGGAGGAAGTCCTTTAGGGGTATCGTGGCACAGCATGAGGATACAGTTAGCTGGGGAGAGCCCAGAATATCAAGGACGGGCCGTGCATTGCTTGTGCCCCTGATCCTTTCTCCATAGCAGTAAAGGATGCTTCATATGGACACGCACAGTAATACCCTGTGTTGTTGAACGCTCCCGAGAAGCTACAGGGCTGCTGTCTTCCCAGCTTGGCTGTGTGACTGAGGCTCCGAGCCTCAGTTTCCCCACCTTTGCCCTTCATGCGTCTCTTAGGGGTTTTCTAAAAGTTATTCCTGGTCACCTCGTGGCCCACCGGGGTTTGGCTGGACAGACACCGACCTCAGTAACTCAACTTCAGATCTGACTTGCTGGTGCTGCCTGGGGAGAAGGATAGGATGCAGTCTCCGTATCATCCTCGGTGTGTCCTGATGTCGCATGTGGCCTGCAGGCTCGGGGTGCCCTTGCCCGACCCAAACACCTTTGAGTTCAGGATAAACTTCCTTGTCTAACAGAAGAAGTATGAGCGGTTCTGCAGCTGCCATCCTGAAATGATCAGCAGAGCACCTAGGACAGAGTAACAAAACCACTGAGACTCCAAACTGAAAGCCTGCATTTTCTTCTGAAAGACATGTTAATACCACCCCCAGCACAGGGCAGCACCACATTGGAGGTCGCACTTACCTGAGTAAGACTCACAGCTGGGCTGCTCAGCTGCTCGCTCGCTTTGACCTTTTGTGTTGTAAAAATTATATTAATTTACTTTGTGGTACTTGGGAGCTTGGTGCTATGCTATGTCCTCAGCTGGACTTTCCCCTCTGGTTTTTGCTTGGCTTTTTTTAAAGATAGGATTTTGCTAAGTTGCTAAATTGCTCCAAGTGGACTCAGAGTTCTAATTCTCCTGCCTCAGCCTCCTACAGTGCTGGGATTACTGCTGTATGCTGTCATTCCAACTGGAGCAAAAATTTAGTGTGGCTTTGGGTTTTGTTTTTTGTTTTTGTTTTATAGGGCCGCAGACTGAACTCAAGGCTTGGCACACACTAGACACATGCCTGACACTGAACCTATGCCCCCCCAGCCCAGCGCATGATTTAAGTATGAGGTGGAAAAGAGTTCCTGCTTGTTGACTCATCCAGCCCACTTTTATTAAGCTCTTCTAAAGAAGGACTTTCCACAAGTACATGACGAATGTTTATTGCAACATTTCTTATATGAGTAAAATTTAGAACCCATAATCATTGAACATAAACACCTTAGACTAGTGTTAAATCACCATGAAGCCTGAAAAGAAACATTATGCAACCCAAAAAAGTATTTCACGGCACAATAACACTTCATTTTGTGACTAAAGAAAGCCAGCTACAAAGCTGTGCAACTCAAAATTTGCAAAATCCTTTGTATGCATGAATGTGGCAGTAAGAAGTGTCAAATGGGAAATGGTGGCTCTATCTTAACGCAGTGAGGTTGCTCATTTGCTTGACTCTGTCTGTCTGCAATTAAATATTCTACAGCCCTGGGGATTGTAGTATCAACTGAAGTTGTCATCCACGCAGAGTAGCCTTAGCACTAGGCGGCACTGTCAACCTGTTTCCTGTCACCAGGCCACGCACCTGGTGATTAGGGGCAGTGCAGCGGCAGGTCGGGAAGGCATATGTCTGTGTCCTTTGACTCAAGCCTGTTCCTGTGGCCAAGTGACAGTTGTTATATCTACAGTCAGACAATGTGTGGCTGGGACGGACTTCCATGCACTCTGCTGCGGCCCAGCAGCCTAGAGTAGGGACCCTGGAGTACACCTGCCTGCAGCTGTGAGCTCAGTGGGATCCCTGGGGAGCATGCCCTATGCCCTGCAGTGCAGAGCAACAGCCAAAGCCATCTTTGCTCCCTTCGTGGGAAGAATGTCTATTTTCCAGAAATGAATTACAGCAGTACATTGTGACAGCTGTTTCTGCGCTCTACAGAGTACATCAGGGAACTCTAGAAAGCATGCTCAGTATACTTAATAAATATACTTAAATACACTCACAACCTAGCTTTAAGACTTGTAGGTGTGACTTAAATTTTTGGTGTTGAATCTCATTCATTTCACACGGCTGGGACTACTTTTGAGTATATATCATCATCACCATCATAATCACCACCACCACCACCATCATCACCATCATAACCACCACCACCACCATCATCACCATCATAACCACCACCACCACCATCACCATCATAACCACCACCACCACCACCATCACCATCATAACCATCACCATCACCATCATAACCACTATCACCACCATCACCGTCACCATCATCACCGTCACATTTTATTTGCCTAACTTCTCTGGAATTTGCTGCATGTGGGCATGCCAGGCACTACCCTAAGCACTTTAAAAGCATTACTTAACCCCTTCGCAGATCTAGCAGGTAAGTGCTAGCATGATCATTTTCCAGATGAGGACATGGGCTCAGAATAGCTAAGCAATTTGACCAGGATCACACAGCCAGGAAGGCAACAAAGTTGAGTGTTGTGAACTCCACCCACCTCGCTGGCTTCAGAGTTTCTGGCCGTAGTCAAGTGGGAAGAGTGAAATTCTTTGTAAAACTAGGACAAGATCATGAGGCTAAGGCAGGAGGATTAAAGTTGGAGCCCAGCTTGGGCAATTTAGAGAGACCCTGTCTCAAAATACCAGATGGTCTAGGGATTTAGCTCAGTGCTAAGGTCCTGGGTTCGATTTCCAATACTGCAAAGAAAAAAAAAAGACAAAATCATCCAGTAAGGGATGATTTCAGAAACTTAAAGAGCCCTGAACCTAGCAGACTCTGTCCAGGAAGCGGTTGCAGACTGACACCCTGTGGCTGAAGGGAGTAACACATCCAGTGCCAAAAGGAAGAGCCCGCTCTAAGGGATGGCTGGGAACTGCAAAGCCGCCCTTCCCACGCTACCACTAACCCTGGCGGCCAGGAGCTTGCACCCTCTCTCACCAGTGGCCAGCTCCAGATGAGTCGGGCAGGCTTCACGGATGGCCTGCAGGGCTAGGTCCCCGCAGTGACAGGCCGGCCCGAATGACCAGCCCAGAGAACAGAATTGGCTTTAGGGCGCCATGAGCAGCGCAGCTGTAATACCCAACCCCACTTTGCAGACGGCAAGAGTGAGTTTCCTGGGTAAAAAGGCCTGCATGAGGTCACACGGCTCAGGATGGAGCTGGCATTCTGGCTGCCATCTACCAGCCCCCACTCTTTGTTGACCCTGCCACCCATGAGGAGGACCTCAGGTCACAGCCAAAGAGCCACCCTGGGCACAGCTCGTCCTTGCAAGCTGTGTACTTGGAAAACTCAGGCCACTCTGCCCCCTGCCCTCCTAGAGGAAGTAGGAATGGTGATTTCCCTGTGCCATGGGCACCCTCCCACCTGGGCAGCACATGTGGGGAAGTGCTAAGTATAAGGAACATACAGAGCAGATGTGTCACATCATTTCTGTTGTTGTTATTGACTGGTGACCTCATCAGGTCTGGCACAAAAGAAAGGCAAGTGTCTGAATCTAAAGGAAAGTGTGTCACCATAAACAAGCCCGGTTTTGTGTTTGGGAAGACCTGTATCCCTTGAAGGCATGAATACAGTTAACACACTTAATGAGATTCACAACGATCAATTGCCACAGCCATGTGGAAATTTTTGTTTCTTAATTTAAATTTGTATCAAAGCATTTTGAAATCAGAAAGCCTTTCTAGAAAACATAAGCTTTTGACAATGACCAATGTAAACATATCATAATATTTTATAATAATATATTTTAAATACTATTTATTAGGGTATCTCTTATAAGGCTGTGGAGATCACTGGGACTTCCTGTTAATGAATGAGAATTGGATAATGTTTTCTGGAAGCTGCTTTCTTATTAATCGGCTGGAGTCCTGCCCAATAATTTCTCCGTACCCTAAGGGATTTTTGTTTAATTATCTTACAATTTTTTGATGACTCATGAAAACCCAATTTTTGTATCATATTGACCAGCTGGAAACCCAGGTGGAAACATGCTTTTGAAATCTATAAATGAAATTAAACTATGAACAAATGGTCCAAAAATGCAAAAGAAAAGGAAAAGAGAAAAAATTTGCTGAGTGCAAATGAAAAACAGCTGTTCGCAGACAGGACAATTGGGTAAACAAACACAGAGATGATCTGCTTACAACATCAGAGTGCACTCAAATATATTTTTGGCTAAATTGAATTACAATAACTCTTACAATTTTAGAAGTTGTAATCATAAATAGACTAGTCAGAATCTTTGTAGGTCAATTAGCAGAGAACTCTTATAAGAAGAATTTGGAAGGAGCAAAATCTCTTATCTATAATGAATATATATTTTTGTAGGTTTTTTTGTCATAAGAATACTGATAAATCTGTGTCCTTTTCTTTCAATAATTTTTAGCTCAGTTGTTCCATGTGTTCTCTCACCTACTCAGACTTTCTCATCTTTTGTTACCAGCTCTTGGGCTTCAGGTTGGGTCTGGCCCTGTCCTTGTCCATCATCTGTGGGCAGACTCTGAGGCATCTGTGCCACAGGACTGAGAATCAGCTTCTTGAAAGATGGAACCAATTCCTTCTCCAGGTTTGGGTCCATGAATACAGCTGGACAGCATGCTCTGGTGCCAAGATAGGCCCTTTAGCACTCTCTGGAAAGACACAGACACAGACATAGCCCCAACCCCAAACAAGTACTGGGCTGGGTCCCCCTCATGGTCCAGTATAAGGATCTTCCCAAAGGGCCCTTTCTAGCTTCTTTTCCTTTACCTGACTGAATTGTCTTTCTGTTCAGTTTCTCATCCCTAGCAGGATTTAAAAAGTTAACAGTACACACTGCTAAGTGAAGTCTATTACGAGGCATGCATTTTGTGGGGAAGAATCCTCCTTTTTGCTTTTGTAACTGAATTTTGAGCCAACATGAGCACATTTAACAACTCCTTGACCTTGAGTGTTATAAGGAATTCCTTGTGGTAAGGGAGATGTGAAAAGTTTTACAAAACATTTGGAAGGTAGCACTCAAATAAGCTGGCCATTGTCCGTCTTAAGCACCCACAGGCAGCTGCAGGCCACTGAGGGAGGATTCCGGGGCCTTGGCTCCATTACCACAAGGCCATCAGCAGACTTCAGAATGTCACGGGAGTCATGGCTGATGAGGGTGGCCGTGGAGGCAAAGCCAGGTGAGGGCCTCACTCTCCTGTTGCTGCCTGCTCACCTGCCTGCTAGCCCAAGAGCCTCCAGCCACCAAGTGCTGCAGGTTTAAAGGCTTGGGGGACAGCAGCGGACTCCCACCACAGCACACAGGAGGCGGGGCCAACCGGGCTTCTGTCCTGTTGTCTGCCCATTGCAGTCTCCCCTCCCTGCCCAGTGGCACACAGACACCAACTCAGAGGCACAGGCCCCAGTGAGCCACCCATGGCACAGAGTTGCCCCGCCATGTAGACCCAGGTTGGGCTGCACCACCTCAGTGAAGCTCTCTGCGTCCTGCAGCACCTCTTGGTCTCTGAGACAAGCAGTAGCATTCTACTTCAGTGGGCAGGGGGGCCCTGGGTGACTCAGCCCTGTGATGCAGCAAAATTCTTCTGATCTGAGAAAGCAGAGGCAGCCACCTGTGGTGCAGGTAAGGTTATAGGTTTTACCTTGGGCAGCTGTGAAGTGGAAGTCACAGAAGTGACTTCCCTCTAATAGAGAGGGGTCTTTTTAGCCCTTCGCAGCTCCTTCTTTATCTGACTGAACAAAGCTAGAGGGTTCACACAGTCTCAAGGGGCTGTTTTTCTACTATCCATTTTTGCTAGGGATTTAGTTTTAAAACAGTGCTCTGAGCTAAATCCTCTGGGGTCATCTTAACAACCGTATAATCATTGAGACATTTCCTAACCCAGGGTCACACACACACACACACACACACAAAGTCAGTAATACAAGCATTTCCTTTTTTTTTTTTTTTTTTTAATTTTTTTTTTTTTTTTTTTGTCTTTTTCATTTTTATCGGTACCGGGGATTGAACTCATGACCGCCTGCTTGCAAGGCAGGTGCTTATGCCACTGAGCTAAATCCCCAGCCCCACAAGCATTTCCTTTTACAATCACTGCCCCAAGATCCTGTTTTTGCCCCATATTTTACACCTGATGAAATCAATATTGTTATCAATACCCCTTTTGTCCCCTATGCTTCTCTTGAGCCTCTTTTGCTCTTGTGAGGCTGCTTTATTTGCAAGAGCACTAGGAGGTGTCCTCTTACCTGCTGTAACAAGTTTCCACATTCCCCAGGGCCATGTTACAGGCACCAAAATGCCACGTCCCGTGCAGCTCTCAAACTTCCCTAGGGGGCAGATGGTGCAGGATGAAGAAATGAACACAAGAGTCACGAAGAAAAGAACTGCCAAAGACTGCGGTGCATTTATTTATACACTCAGCAGGCTGATGTCACATGACAACCCTCTGCCTATCAGCTTCTTTGCTTAGATTTCCTTGAGCTCTCCTTGTTCTTGGAGCTGGCCTTGCTTTAGCCCTGCATATATGACCTATATCCAGCTTCAGTAGCACTCTACAAGGCTCTGGGTTACAACCCCAACACACACACACACACATGCACACACACACACACACACACACACACACAGCACAGAAAAATCTATTTGCCCCAAAATGCTTTGTCATAGACCTTAAAGAGAAGGTTCTGTGAAACACATATTGGGACATCAGCTCCCAAGTGCGCTAACACTGCAGGAGTCTGTGTCTCATACAGGACAGAGATCTCAAAGTGTGCCTCCCACCCCAAGAACAGACAAAAAATGTCAGGTCTGGCTTCTCTGACCCACTGTACCAGGAAGCCCAGAGCTTGGACTTAGCAATCTGTTACAGAACACTCTCTAGAGAGTCTAGCTGGTCCTGACACACAGTCTGGCATAAGCATGATTGAACAAAGAAACACGCCCACTGCTCCGACAGCCTCCCCTCCTCCCCCTTCACTGCCCTGGAGCCCTCAGTGTTTGAGGCCCAGATCTTTTCTGCCCTGGGCAAGAAAGCTGAGGACAGAGCTTGATGGAGGGGTCTTGGGTGAATGGAAAGAGGACAGTCACTAATTCCAAGTGAGGGCCTGGAGGATGATTTGGGGTTAAAGAACCAAGGAGCTTGTGCTGGCCACACCATGGCTCCCACGGGCTCTGCCCTCACTGATTGCCAGAAGGAACAGACAGAGGGGGCCACTTGGGGGATTCAGGGGGTGTTGCAGAGACAAAGAAAGAAGATGCCCCTGGATGTCCCCCAGGAAAGGGACTTCATAACTGTGACAGGCAGCAGAGAACAACAGGGAAAATGGAACACATGGGGGGCCCATGAGCACCAAGAGGCTGGGTGGTGCAGGGGGGCAGGCGGATGAGCATGTCCCACCCAGGGTCCCATTGCTGCCTCCTTCCTTGCTGCCCGCACATCCCCAGGGGAGGCCACACACACAGTGGGAGGCCAGTGAGGGCAGTGGCTGGGGTGGGGACCACAAGTCCTGAGTGAGCAGATGGGCTCAGCAGGCCTGGGCACCGTTGGAAACCAGGGCCAGTGTGAGTCTGAGGTGCAGGTTTGCTTGTGTGTAGGGGGGTGGGCCCTCCAGGGACACAGCTGTCACCGCCACACAGCAGGATGTATGCCCCGGTGGAAACTGAACTGACCTAAACAAAAGTGTCTGACCCCGGCAGCTGCTTCTGTGGCAGCTCCTCAGGTCATGCTGAAGCGGCACTCTGGGGCTGAGGCCAGCTGGTCGCTCAATGCAGGCCCCACCCTCCACCCCTAAAAGGGACAGGGTCACCCTTACCCTCTGGCTCCACTGATTGGGTGTTGGGTGGCATTTTGCAGGATGTGTGGGTGCTGGGGTCTCAGTTAGCTCCCTCCTTCTTGCTGGCTTCTTAAATCCAGCAAGATCTAAATTGGAAGATCTAAACTGAGGCGAGGAATTCCCCAGCAGAAACTGCATGACTCTCTTGGGAATCTGCCCTTATCTCAAGGGTGAGATACTTGAGGAGTCTCCCATGATTTGGGTCTGAATATACGTAGATAAAGTTTCAACTCATAACATTAACTCAAAATTCCGGAAACGCTTGTGGAAGCACAGGCAGTCCAGCCAGGCCCACAGACCCACTAAGACAGAGGGACTGAAGGAGAAGCGGGGAGGCCCAGACATCCTGCCTAGTCCTCTGCAGCCAGCACCTGTGGCCCAGCTCCCACCTTACCCAAGCCAGCCCAAGGACAAGTACGCATTAGCTGCTAAGCCCCTCAGAGGGTGGCAAATCTACCACTGAGTGGGGCCTGGGGCTCCTGGACACAGCAGGTCTGTGGTAACAACAGAAAAGACAGGGACTGATTTAAAGTTTCAGCTTCCAGGTTTCCTTTAAAAACTTAGAAGCACTCAGAGCAGTCTCCACCCTGTATGCCCTCACACAATGCCTCCTGTCTCCACATTTTCTTAACTCAATGCCCCCACAATGGGCTCCCACACCTTGGGAACCAGGGACAGCCACCAGCCTGGGGCGCCATGCCCTCATCATTTCATGATGAGTGGCCAGGCCAGATGGGTCTGGGCTGCCTCTCCATGATGGGCCACACCTGGACCTCTGGCTCCATCAGTTGAGTCCAAGCAGCACCCAGCTGTGGCTGCACAGATAACCGTGGGTTACCTCCCAGGGTGTAGGCGGAGAAGAGCATCACAGGCGGCATCCACACTGCTCCCCCTTCCCTGAGTTGCTGGATGCTTTGCAGTTGCTCACCTGACTTCAGACAAGGACAAAGCCTTCCATATGTGTAGAAGATCCTTCTGTGATGCTATCTCCACAGCAGGGGGCACAGCACTAAAGCACTAGTAACAAAAATAGTAACACCTCCTGAGTGTATTCTCATTCAATTTTGGAAGAGAACTGTCATGGCCAAGTGGGGAGCAGCAGGGAGAGAAGGAATCTTGGATAAGTTCAGCGCACAAGTAAGTACACTGAGTCAGAGGCGATGGAGAAAGCCAGGCACAGCAAGATGAATGCAGAGATCCCATATTGAAACTCAGGATCAGAGTGCTGGGAAGGGAAGCCATCTGCCCCTGGCCTGGGCAACCCTTATCTCCCAGGTCTGGGGTGCACAGCATCTTGGGAAAGGACTAGGTCCCCCAAGGCAGGCAGCAGCATTCCAGGGGTAGCCAGACCTGCAGAAAAGACCGAAACCTTTCTACTCTCCCCACTGGGAAGAGGCACACAGTAAGTGAGATATCTGCAAACCCAGCCATCAGAGAAGCTGAAAGCCCCTGAAACAGGCAGGGTGTGAGGGATCCCACAGGTGCTGGGGGGTCTGGAAACAAGCGCACCATTCTTACTGGGGGCCTGGAGCTAGGTGCTGAGAACACTGCAGCCCAGAGACTTCGGGGTGACCCTGAGGAGAAAGGAGACTGGAAATAAGCATTTGGCAGTCCCTTCTCCAAGCACCAGGGAGGGCTGTGCCCACAGGACAGCCTATGCACTGGCCATTCCTCCATCGTGCGCCCACTGCCAGGCCCAAGGCTCCACCAAATTCATGAGTCAAGGTGGTCCCCCCCACACACACACACACCATCGCACACTCCTAGGAGCATGAGGTGGGGTTCCTCCCACCATCCCTCACTCCTAGGAGCCTGAGGTGGGGCTACCCCCCCACCCCCACCCTACACTGGGGTGAATATGGGGCAAAGCTCCTCTCTGGTCATTCCATACTCCTATCCTTACCCCACCATATTCCTGGGAACGTCAGCCAGTACCCTGTGGTTACACTCCACTTTGGAGTGTGACTGTGAAATGTTACTCCCACGATGACCCTTCCGTGCTCCCGGGGAGTAAGTTTGTGCCTCACTCTTCCCAGTCCTACTCTGTGAGTGTGAGCTAGAGCTCCTGCTGTTCCCATGTCATGCACTGCGAGAGCAACTCTTTCATTACCACTTTGGCTAGCAGAGAGCTCCAGGTCAAGAATTCACCCAAGGATTCGGAAAGCAGTCGGTCCAAGTCCTGACATTCTGCCTTTTATTTTTTTCCTTTTATTATTTATTTATTTATTTATTGTATTTTTACCGGTACCAGGGATCAAGCTCACGACCACAGACTTGCAAGGCAGGTGCTTATGCTGCTGAGCTAAATCCCCAGCACATTCTGCCTTTTAGGTGGGTGATTGGGCCACAGCAACATGGCTGGGTGAGTGGGCGTGACCTGCCAATTACGGAGCCCCAGGACAAGCACAGGGCAGCTCTGGAGCCCTGCACTTGGGCCAATCAGAGAATGCTGTCTTCAGCTCTTCCGGCACCGGGACAAGCAGGGCTTTGAGAGTGGGCCTAGCGTTGACATCAGGATGGGATTATCAGCCTCACAGCTGGTGAGCCTTTGCCCAGCTGCCCTGCACTGCCCTACCGAAACTGGCTGGCACTCACTCTGCAGGGCATCTTCCTTTTTCTGCCTTCAATCCTGCTTTTAATAACTTTACTAAATGTAAAACCTTGGTACTTCATCTCCTGTCCAGCTCTTTATTCAGGCAAAAATTCAGAAAGAATTCTTCGATCTTTGCTCTGGTCCTCAGTTTCTTCCCTTTGCTAGTTTTGGGTCTCACTAGTTCTGCTTCAGGGTTCTTTATGCAGATCCTGAGGTCCTTGATTCAAGATCTTTCTTTTTTTCTATATGTGTATTTAGTGGCATGAACGCCTAAGCACTGTTTTAGTGGTCTGCCATAAATTTTGATATTTTTTCAGTTCAAAATAATTCCTAATTTCCCTTTTTTAAAAATCAGTTTTGGGAATGGAACTCACAACCATGCGCTTGCAAGGCAGGCACTTATGCCGCTGAGCTAAATCCCCAGCCCCTTAACTTCCCTTTTTAAAAAATCCATAAGCTATGTAAAAGTGTTTGTTTCCAAGTAGGGATTTTCCAGGGATCTTTCATTTTTGATTTGTAATTTAATCTCATCACAATTAGAAAATGTACATCATGAATTTAATGTAGGGACATTTGTTTTATAGTACAAAATGTGATCAATCTTAACAAATACCCATATGCCCTTGGAAAGACTGCATTCTGTTGTTTTAAAGAATAAGGCACCCTGGTGGGTAGTACTGTTCAAATCTCCCATAAAATTTTTGCCTACTTATTCTATCAGTTGTTGAAAGAAACATTGAAATTTCCAACTATACTTATAAATGTGTTGATTTTTTCAGTGAATTTATCTTCTATTCTTACGTTTGGGCCACATATGTCTACCCACATGGATATACATCCTTGCACCAACACACATTTACACACACACACAACACGCATACAGAACTCTGTGCACACAGGTCCACACGTTCACTCACACACGTGCACACATGCAACTGTTTGAGAAAAACAGAGTACAGCAAATTAAAACTAGCAGAAAATAAGAAGGAGTACACTCATACTCTCTGTTTAGTGACCTCACTATGCCCAGAAGGTACTGTTCCCACACATAGAGAGCATAGCATTTCCCACCCACCGTTGCCCAGACAGCTCCTTGTCTAATGCAGCTGCCTAGAGCTGAGTCTGGACCTGTAAATGAGGTGGGGCCTGGAAAGGAAGCTCATTCTCCAGGAAAAAACTCCAGTGACCCCCAACATGTTTGCTAGCATGTAAGGCGGGAACCTGTAACGTTGTACATAATACCACCAAGGGTGACAACATTTTCAAGAAGTCGGTTAAACTGTTAGTCATTTATGCTTTTTTCTGAGCAGTGGCCTCACAGGTTGTGCATTGCAAAAGGATTCAGTCTCAGGTCTCATTCTTTCTGTCCCACAGAATTGTTTCGAAGGAGTTATTGAAGGATAGAAAAAGAACAGAAGGTCAGCAAGAGAGCTCTAAACATAGACCAAAAGATGTAGTTTTCTGTGAGACAGGCTCTGCTGTGTGTGGCAAAGTCCATTTTCCTGAAGATTCTGTAAAAATCGGGTGTTTAGGCACCTTTCTGTCACTATGACTGATACCTAAGATAATCAGCCTATAAGGGAAGGCTTACTTCGGCCCACAGTGTCGGAGGCCCCAGTTCATGGCTTTCTTGCTTTGGGACTTGTGGGATGGCAGCACATCGCGGCAGGACAGCACAGTGGCGCAAACTCACTCACCTCTTGGCCACAAAGTGAAAAGTGGAAGCAGTGAACAGACCCCAAAAATTTCTCCAAGGAACACCTCTAAGGGCACACCTAGACAGGTTTGGGGGCACATCTGAAGCTCTCCAGGAGTCCCAACTCTTAAAGGTTGCCCAGGTCCCAAAAGCACATCCCTGGAGACCAAGCCTCTAACACAGGGGTCTTTAGGCCCCAAGACCAAAGCTATAGCACCAGGAACCTGTGCTGGTGCAGCTCAGAGGCCAAAGTAGCTCTTCAGAGCTTGCCTCAGGTCTGACCCTAGGTTGATTAAACATAGAAACAAACATTGTACCTGTCGTTTGTGTGAAAATCCACAGCACGTAAATGAGCACAGCTAATTGGAGGCATTCCAGCCGTTTTTCTTTATGAGCAGTCCTTCGACTGTGCTTCCATTTTCCCACAGTTAGACCCTTCTTTTTTTAGCAACAAAGCTATATAAGCTTGCAGATGAAGTGGTTGAGGTGTATGCATTTAATTTCTCTTGCTCACAAAAGGCTTTGTGGTGGCTCACAAATACACACACACACACACACACACACACACACACAATCGTGGACTGAACAATGAAGCAACACTCAAGGGAGGAGCAGGCAGAGGGAAAGCAGAGAGCTTGGTGGGTGCTGGATGGAAAAACGACCCAGGTACCTTTCCTGTGCTTTTAAATAGTCCTGAACTCTTGAACTGTGTCTCCATGGAGACAAAGAGAAAGACAGAATGACAGGCAGACCCTTCCCAGAAAACAGGCACTAGAAATTTTTTGTTGTCCTATTAACCTGACTTGAACCCCAGTATTGCTCTCCCCATCTTGTTCTGTCTGATTATTATATATTCAATTTTGTTTGATAGTATCAAGTTTGAGGGTATAGGCAATCACTTTGAAGGCAATAAGATATACTATGATGCCCAATATAGATTGACTATCATCCTTTTTTTTTTGAAGTCCTGTAAGATCCTCAGTGTAGATTCTATTGGTTTTGTTCCATATTGTTTTGATCAATTCTATTATACCTGATGATATAGACAACTCAGTTTGAAAATAGCAAGAGGCACAATGGTAACCACTTTTGATCATCTGCTATTCTATTTTTGTATCACGTGCTATGCCCACCCTTCTGTTCTAAGTGACTCTGTTTTGCTTAGTCACATTTTTTATTCTCTTCAAAAAAGTAATAAGAACCATGAGAGTAATAAAACCCTAAAAGTCTAATTGTTACTGTAAAAAAGAGAGGAAAGAAAGGTGGATTAAGGGATATAACCCCAGGTATGTTCGAGAGTGTAGGATGGAAAACCATATAACTGAGCTTTGGTTGGATCATTGAACGGAACTGTCTCCAATTCCACTGTATGAATGTTCACTTTATATGCTTGAATTCTATGATATGGACAACTGTTTCTGGGAAGATAATGTGTAGCCTGTTAACTGGTGATTTCATACTGTATATATTTTTTTCTAGAAATACTGTATTATTTGTACCCTTTTACTGCATTTTTTTATGTCCTTTCTTTTTTTTTTCTTCTCTTTAAATAAAAAAAAAGTGAAGGAAAGAAAGTGCTCTAAAGGATACAATTGCAAGTGTGTTTAGGTGTGTTAAATAGATGACCATGTTAATGTATTTGATTGGATCATTGAACACAACTGTTTGCAGTCTCACTGTTTGAATGTCCACTTTGTATGCTTTAATCCTGTGACTTGAACAACTATCTCTAAGATGATAATGTGTAATCTATTAAATGGGGATTTCTTACTGTTTTTTCTTTGTAGTTCTGTATTACTTGTACCCTTATACTGTTTTGCTTTGTTTTGTTTTTTCTCTTTTTCCTTTTAAATAAAAAAAAAGAAGAAGAAAACGGGCACTAGACCTTGGCCAAGCCCTTTCCCCAATAAATCTTCTGAATAAATCTTCTAGAATAAATCTTCCTGAACAAGGAGAACTGGAAAGAAGTGGTTTGATTTGTGTTTCTGAAACGGAAGTTTCTCTGCTACAGAACTGGCCACTTTAGTGACTGGCACGCCACATAGCAGGCAGGACAGGCTGACCGCACTCTTCCATCCTCCTTCCCTCGCTGGCAACCACACGCAGCAGGAGGCCTCTGCATCTCTGCTGCATGCAGAGATCTCATCAGGGTCCACGTAGGAGCTTCTAATGGTCCTGCTGGGATAGAGTGACAGCATGTCACAACTTCAGAGGCCTCTAAAACACAGATGGCTTTACTTTAGAAGACATCATGCCGTGTGTGGCGTGCTGAGTTCTAGACCCATGCGAGAGTGCACAAGCTTGACTCTGGGCCTCTGCAAGTCAGGAAAATGCTCGTAAGATCTTACAGTGCTAGGATACAAGGCCAGCTGGGGAGAAGACCTGCTTCAAACATAACAGGCTTAGCACATGCGAGAAGTGTGTGTGTGTGTGTGTGTGTGTGTGTGTGTGTGTGTGTGTGTTGAAGTGTCTTTGCTGCCCTTGGACACAATTCCCCACACCTACAGCCTTAAGGAGGAGAGGTTCCAGTCTGGCTGATGTTTTCAGTCCGTGGTCCGTGGGCTCCAAGGCAAAAACAGGATGGTGGGGAGGCGCAGATGAAGAACAGCTGCTCACCCCACAGCAAGGAGAAAGGAGAGAGCAAAGGGAGGAGCCAAAGGAGATGTGTCCTTTCAGGCCACACCTCTGGTGACTGGCTTCTCCTGAGCACACTCAGCTACCGGACCCACTAGCAGATGTGTCTACTGATGAATACAGCACCCAACATTCAATTGCCTTCCAAAAGCCTGCCTCTGAACACAGGAGGTTCGGGGGCCTGATCTTGGGCAGGATTCAGGGCTGAAGGCATTGTTCCATCCAGAAGACAGGAAACCTACATCTAAAGAGGAGCAAGAACAAAGGTGCTCAGGATCAAATTCAAATCTCAATATCGTCCCAGCCTCTTCAATTTGTAGCTGTACTGAAATTGTGATCTTTTTATTCCATTTACAGGCGAGGAAAGAGGAAACTATCTCTATGGAAAGTGCTATTCCATGGAGTTCTTGAAGGTTTTTTATACATAAGGCCTAACACTCCTAACCAGATGTGTGTGGGGTGATAAAACATGACGGGTAGGAAGAGAGGAAAAATACATCAGACTTCCGCACAGTGTGGATGTTGGGATCACCCAGGTCTCTAACGTAACTGGGACTGCTGTGTTGAAGAACACAGAGGAAAAAACAAGGCCAGGGAAGGAAGGAGGAGGCAGGAGTTCATCATCAGAGAATTTGAGTCTGTGTTAAAAACCAAGTGTACACGGCAGAACTGAGGGAATGAAGGAGCCAGGTAATGGGTGTGATGGAGCTGATCTGATACAGCAGAGCTGGGAGGTGCTGAGTTAGGAGAGCTCAGTAGCAAAGAGCCACACTGAAGCAAAGAGAAGAAAAAATGTAATTCCATAAGGAAATGTGATGCATGCTCAAAACTGAACACGCAAGAGAAATACTCTGAAAAAGTGAAATAGAAATGGCAGAAAGTGTTAAAATGAGTGACCAATATTTATACTACCTTGATGAAATGTGTTAAACTGATTCTGCAACACCCACCCCTCTGCCCTGCCCAGCAAAATGGCTTAAAACCAGTCTTAAGGGAAATATCAAGAGCGCCCACGAAAAAAAGGATAAAAAGACCAAAAGTATGACTCATGGCTGATTTTTTCACAGCAACAAATCCAGGAGTGGATAGAATGACCTTTTGAAGTGCTAGGATTTTATAGCCACCAAAATTCCTTTGAAATGTCTGAGAAATAACTTATAACAAGCAGAAACTGAGGAAGGCTATTGCTAGCGTTCTTACACTGAAAGATATGCTGACGGTCCTGTCAGGCGAGGAACTGGGGGTTGTGTGGGGCTGTAGAGCACAAGGTTGGGCCTTTTGAGTCCCCTCCGAGGGTGACACCAGCAGGCACAGGGCCTCAAGGGCCCCAGCTCTAAGCTCGCTCAGGACTCTCAGCAGGAGCAGGAGCCAGGGTCACGGGTGCTGATCCGAGGTCTCAGCTCCCACAGGGCAGTGTGGTGAGCCCTGAGGACAGGGCTGGCGAGGGCAGGTGTGTGGTTCAGTGCGCCGGAACCGGGCGGCAGATGCAAACCTGCCCGTCTATGCCAGGTGCCATTTCACAAGCTGCCAGGACAGCGCATCGAAGGAAGCGGTCAGCGACACAGCGCAGAGGACCGGCACACTTTTCTGTGCTGCCTACTTACCGCTCCTTTCTAACCCTGCCAGAGTTTAAATCCTAGAGGGATGTAAAGATTTGCACATCGCAAAACACACACGCATGATGTGCACTCAACATAGACGCAGATCCTGTGTCTCTGGTTGTATATTTCTAATTCCTTCAACAGCTCTGCCAGTTTTTAAAAAGATCTTATTTTTAATAAATACAGTGAAGCCATCCACTTGGATTACTGCATAAGGAACAGGCCACCAGAGGGCGACATACACAGCACAGGCTGAGTCTGGGACCTGGACCAGTTTGACTGGGTAAGATGGGAAATTACACCTGGAATTCTGTGGAAGTGAGCACTTTTCAATCCATCCGTGCTAAAATTCTAGAGCTGTTAGTAACTGACCACCACATGAGAAAAAGTAAAATTCTAATCACCCCAGTAGTGGGCATTCACTTCCTTGTCTTCCTTAACGCCTGATATTTTCTGTGTCAAATCCCAGGAATAGTAAGTATTATGATACATAAAAGTGCCCCAAAAATATGTCAGTCTAATCGAATCACATACATCTCTGCTTATGTAACACACAGAAATAAGTCTCACTGTTGTAATTACAGGAGTTAACCATTACCTCTTCCGTCATTAAGAAAAGAACTGGTTTTCCTACATGTGTTTCTGTCTTTTCCTGTGCCCTGCAATGGCTTTGAACAGGTGCTGACATGGCCACTGAGTGGCCAACATCAATGTCCAGCCTACCGAAGATCTAAAGATGAGCTAGCATCAGCTGAGGTAGCATCTACCTCTTCCACACAAACCCGACCAGAGGGAGCTATCTCTTCTCACCCGATGCCCCGGCGCCCAAACCTAAGACAGCGCAAAGCAAGACGCTGTCTCCTACTCACACAGCCACAGGCCCAGGCAGGCATTTTGCTGTGTGTCCTCCAAGCCCATGGAGCACAAGTCAGGGAGCTGGGGCCACGCCCTGGGGTGCAGAGCTCTGGCTGTGTGCAGACCCACACTGACCTCAGTGTTCAGAGGAGCTGGGGTCTGCGGGTCTGGACAAACACCCTGCGGAGCCCCGCTTCCTCCCCTCCCCACTGCCCCTGCCTGTCAGGTTTCTGATCCATCTGTGCTGCACCTCAGACTTGAGGTTGCCCCTCTCATATGATTTCTTTTCAGTTTGGGGTGCACAGTGGTTCCCCCCTCTGCAGGAACACCCTGCACAGCCTCTGTGATCTCTGAAACACGGATGCATACATACACTGTGACCAAAAGCACTGTGCTTTTGCTGTATAAACCCACTGAGGAAAGGTCTTCAGTCATTTTCATTTCTACAGCGGGCTTCTTCGAGGGAGCTGCGGCAAGGGTCTCCGGCCCTGGGAACTTCCTGGCGCTCCTCCCACCAGCCGCAACCTTGTTCTTTGCCTGGTACCGCGTGTGTTTCTGGAACCTGCTCCATCTTGTTCCTCTGACAGGCTCCTGTGTGTCCCTCTCAGTTTAGCACAGATGCCTGCTCCTCTGGGAAGCCTTGGCTCTTTGCACCTATCGGGCCAGCTCCTCCCTGTCACCCTGCCAGGTCGCCTGGCCACAGGCTTAATCATTTGGCTCTGTGCAGGGCAGGAAGAGGTGCTGTCCTTATGTCCCCCTGCCTGGCCTAGAACCTGGCACATAAGCAGGAACAGGCATCTTCTAGAAAGGTGGGCTGAGTGATGAGTGTCAGGAGGTCTCTGTCATCCCTGGGAAGTGGAGAGAAACATGTCCCAGTCACAAGTCTCCATCAGCCTGGCCTTCAGGGTCTGCAGGGCTGGGTCCAGGCCCCTCTCCAGGTGCCTATTACACCCCTGTCCCATCAGGCAGTGCTGCAGTGTCCTCCAAAGTCTCCTAATGCTCTTTTACCTCCACTTCCCCTTGGGTGCTCCCTGTACCAGGGAGAACGTAGCCTGCCCAGAGTCTGGAACTTTTATTGGAATTCTCTGAACTGCGGGTCACAGCCAAAGCTAAGGAACCCCTGCAGAGGAAAGAAACTCCCGGGTCTCTGTGTGGAATCTGTGATTATTCTATTCTGAGGCGATCGCATTACAAAAGGAGGGGAACTCATTCTCCACTTGGGGCCCTGTTGACCATGTGAGGGGTACAATGCTGGGGGCAGGCCTCGCCAATGTTGCCCTCCCCGGGATGCCTGTTGGCTCAGTAGGTTCAGCCCTGCCAGGAAGGCAGAATGAACTGGGATGCTGTGCGTGAAGCTTGCCGTGCCAGGTACTCATGGAAACTTGTGAGGTGTTGGTGTGAATTTCTGCAAAGGTGTCTCAAAATGTGCAGGCAGCCACCGTGTGCCAAGGTGCAGCCTCTGAGGCACTGCACGGCGCTGTGCTGCAGTGCGTGTGTTCTATCTGCACCTCTAAGGCTAGGCTGTCTCAGGAGAAGAGCTCTGAAAGAATGTGAAATTCTAGAACAGTGGGAGGTCCTGGGAGAACCCTCTCTGAGTGCTGACTGCGTCAGTATCTTGTGTGTGCAAGGATCTTATCCCTGCGTGAGTCCTGTGTGGTCATCCTGGGGAAAGGGTAAGGTAATGGTATAAGGTCTCTGTTGTAAGCATGCGTTGAGCCTGGGTGTGCTCTTGGAAGGTCACTCCACGGTGTCTCTGTAGCTCTCTGGTCTCTGTGCATGCTCTGTGTGGGGGTCTCTGTGTGAGGTCTCTGAGGAATGGCCTGTGTGGTGTTGAGGGGGTGTGTACTTCAGGGGAGCCCTGTGTGCATGGTCATCCTTCCAGCTGTCTCCAGGAGATCTGTAAGCTCTGGGGTGACACCTCTGAGAGGGAGCTGTGTATGAGGACTAGGTGGCAGTCCAAGGCCCCTGGGGGAGATTTCCATCTTAATTCCCTGAGGGGACTCTGGGTACAAGTCTCCTTAGTACAAGTCTCCATCACAGGTGTTTACAGAGTTTGTGTGAGCTTGGTGAAGTTGTGTGATTTCTAGGGGAAGTCCTTGTAAGGGAATTTGTAGTCTAGCAATCTCAAGGGGGCTCTGCGAGGGTGCCATTGTGGGCTTATCTGGAAAGATCTTTGGGGCTCTCTGTGGGAATCTCGGGTAGGGTCTGAGGGAGTCTCACCATGCACCTCTGAAAGGGGTCTCAAAGTGTGTCTTTGGGGGAGTTGCTGAATGCGGGTCTCCAGGAGAGTCTCAGCTGTGTCTTGGTTGAGGTCCATCACTGTGGGTTTTATAGAGGCTGGGTCTCTATGTGTGGGTCTCTAATTCTCCAAGTCTCTAGGTCTCTGGAGGTCTGTGTGTGGGAATTCATGTTTATTTCCAGCAGAGTTCCTGTTTGGGTCTCTTTGGGAGTCTGAGGCTTCTCTGACAGTCAACTAGCTCATACAGAGAATTTACAAGAATTTCTGTGTCCATCTCTGAGTCCATTAGTGTTGGGTCTGTCAACATGGTTTTCTCTGGAGTGCCAGGAGGACACAGAAGTTACTAACTAGGAGAAAGAACATCAGGAAGCAATGGCGTCTTACACAGAGGAAGCCATTAACATGAAGAGGGTGTACTCATAAAGCAATTTTTCTTTTAATGCATTTCTTCTGCAAGAAATTTTTTCTCAGAAGAAAAGTATGAAACGTCTGTGGTGTTTGCCAAGGGACAGCTCTTTGCAGAGCGCTTGTGTAGCGGTGGTCGATGTAAAACGAGGCACGGGTATCCATTGACTCATGAAGGCCTTGACCAGAGTGGGGCACAGGCTCTTGGGACAGCAAAGCCTGATCACTATCCCTGTCTCTGACCCGCCTGCTCTTAGCAGGATGGCTCTGGTCCTTGGGGCTGTCGTGGTGAGCGTGAGCCCAGCATGAGTCCTTCATGACTTGACATAGTGTCATTAAATTTAATAGACTGAGATCATGAAGATGAAGATCTTCTAGTGACCCGGGCAGTGGCCACCAGGGACTCACTGTGCAGAGGGGGCAGGCCCCAGAAGAGCTGGAAATGGCTCCAGAGACCTTGTGGAAAGGGACCTGCCGAGACTCAAGAAGCTACTCTGCTTTGCCCTTTGTGTGGCAGGAGGCTGCGCACAGGTGAGTTTGTCACCCAGTGACCTCAACAGGCTCCTCAGGGAAACCCGGGGGTGCCCTGTGTTCACTGTAGGAAAAATGAGCCACCCTTGCATTTTCCCTGGCACATTTTCTGTTTGCCTTTCTTGTTGACCAGCATCTCCAGCAGCTTCTGCACATCCAGTGGATGAAAGCGTGGTCCCCTCTGCCTGCCTCTGCCAGCCAGTGGGTGGGGCCTCCCCAGAGCACAGTGTCTGGTGGAAAGTGAGGAGGTTGAGCAGAATGTCACATCGGAGACACTACATCAGATTCGACCTGGAGGCCAGCTGTCGGTGTCCAAGGCTCCTCACAGTGATAGCCAGGAACAAGGAGTGGACACTTGCATCCCTTACATGATGCTTCCACATCCACCAACCCCCACTGTCCTCACAGCCACCTCATGGGGAGGAAAGGACACTTCATCTAATGAGGACTCAGCGGTAGAGAAGTAAACTGCACTCCCAGTTAGACCCCTAAGTTCACCTGCAAATGTCAGCTGTACTGCTCCGCTGTGACCCACACTGCCCCTCCTGGACATCATCCTTCCCGGGCCAGTCACAGCTTCACTCCAAGCACAGCCTGAGAAGGGTCCCCAGGTCAGAGTTCTTTCCCTGAAGCCTCGCTCCTAGGCCTCCCCAGAAATCCTCAGAGCTGTGGATGTGGTTGCTCAGGAGCAGGGCGCTCAGGTCCCGGCTGCGATCGGAGGACAGTGCCTTACCTTTCACGGTGCAGCTCTTCTTCTGCCCCTTTGTCTACGTGTGGTGCTGTGCCATGAGAAAGGAAGAGAGGCCGGGACCCAGTCCTCCCTCTCCTCTCTGTACTCCATGTCCCCAGTAGCGGGACTTTCTACATTTAACAGAGTTCCCTTGTAAGGTGGCTAAAAGATTGTGTTGCTTCTTGGAAAACCAGAAAAGCCTTTTCCTGCAATGTGAGCCTCACCACGTATGTCCTGAGCCCCAGTTCCTCCGTCTGAGCTCCATCCACACATTTCTCAGCCCCCATGCCAGCATCCGCCTCCAAGTGCCAGAGTTCAACCCAGTTTCTTCTGGAGCCCTCGGGGCTGAGCAGAGCCCTCAGATTAGCCCAGCCCTGGAGAGAGCCCAGGTCAGGGGCCCTGCCGTGAGAAAGCACTAATGCACTGGGCCTCAGCCCCTTTGCTCGCATGTCCCGAAACTGCACTTTTGGGACACTTTTTCTCATTGTTTTCTGTCACTCTGGCCCCTCCATGATAACACACAGATGATCTGACAGTCTCAGATGATGTCACAGTGTCCACTCTCATTGCTGCCTCACCTGTCCTGGAAGAATGATACCACTGTCGAGCTTTCCTCTCTCTGAAGCCTCTCAAGTAGATTTGCAAGACTGGAATGAACAGTAGAAGAATCTTTGTCTGTTGGTTTCTCCTGTGGATTGCTTACCATTCTGATGTTCTTTATCCCATTAGTGGGAAGATGAATCCATCTGGAAGAAAGGATCAGTAGGATGGAGACCATCAGCCCACATGCAGAGGCAAAGATTATATCCATTGCCCAGCAAGCGAAGCTGGCACTCAGCCAAGCAGAACTTTCCAGAAGGAAGAGAGGACTCTCCATCATCTAAACTGAGTTGCCACCCTCAGGCTCCTGAGCCCTGAGAGTCTCCGCAGTGAGTCGGGAGTGGGGCTCAGGCCTGTGTCACAGAGCGCTCGTCTCCCCGTCACAAAGCAGTCCTGAGCATGGGGGTGCCAGAAAGAAGAGGCCCACCATCACCACTCCCCACCCTCCCGCCCAGCAGATCCTACCTGCATGAGCCCCCAGCCTCCCTCCTCCCAAGCCCACCTGCCCCATCTGTCAGGGCCCCGCCCCAAGCCCCAGGTGGGGCTGTCTGATCTCCCTCAGGTGTGAACTGGATGAATATGGAGCTGTCTCAGGCATGCTTGGCACACGTATTTCACAGGCATTTCCACACTCAGCTCCTCCTCTTCCTGCAGCCCCAATCTCCCACAGAAAGTGATTTGGCTTCTTTTTTATTATTTGGCATTATGCCAGCTCAGGCAAAACTGAAACTTCTTGCATACTTAATTTAGTATAGTGAATTTTGAATAAAAATTTTGTTAAATTTTCATAATTTTGCTGTCTTCATTTAGATGGTAAAAAAAAAATGAAAAACTTAAATTAATGCATTTTTAAAATCTCACCCAACTGAGTCAAGAATATAGCTCAGTGGCACAAGCGCCTGTCTGGCAAGCACAAGGTCCTAAGTTCAATCCACGGTACCAAAAATAAGTAAATAAATTTCACCCAACTAAATAAGTATAAAAACTGCAATGGATCTTAAAAGGACACTAACTGCTTCTAAGATCAATGAAAAACTATTAATGAACTTTAGTAACTGCTGTACACACAGAGAGACTCTCTTTCCTTCACACAACCATTCCCACACTTTGATTAATCCATTCTATATTTTCAAATCTAAGAATGAAAGTTTATTTGCCATTGTAAAGTACTTCTTTAGACAATTGTGCAGGCAGCATGTGTTTTCAGGCTGTTTTCTCAGAATAGGATCACTTTTTTCCAGGAGTAAACAATAGGAACATGGAACCCCCGGTTGAAACTGTTTTTGTCTTTGACGTCTTTGGCCATGCCGCCCTCCGCCTTCCTCCCGTGCTTCTGATGGGATGTCAGCTGTTAATCTCATCCCAGTTCCCCTGCACATGAAGAGAAGTTTTTCTCTCTTTGATTTGGCATAGTTTGTGGAGCAAGTGCAAGTCAGTCATTATTTCTGTAGGTATTGTCTTAGTTGCTTTCTCGTTGCTGGAACAATACACTCAACACTCACAAGTCGAAGGAGGAAAGGTTTGATTTAGCTCACAGTTTGCAGAGGTTTCAGTCCCTAGTTGGCTGACTCCAAGGCAGGGAGGCATGGCAGAGGGCATCACAGGGGACAAACAGTGCATGGCAGGGCAGGTAAAGGTGGAGACTTCCTTTCTCTTTCATCTTTTTATTCCACCCAGGCTACAAGCTTACTGGTCGGTGCCCCACACCCAATGCCGGTCCACCCTCTTCAGTGAGTCCAGCACCCACAACCAGCACTATGCTAAGCCAATCAGTGGATTGACCCAGTGTCACACACCCATGACCCAGTCACTCCTGAAGGCCCCATCTATAGCCATAACAAGTATTTTATTCTTTATTTTGTTTCCTTTATTTCTGAGGCTTTCTTTTCATCTGTATTGGTGAGCTTGATGGTGAGGGTGTTTGGGTGTTACTATACCTCTTACTCAAGAAAATCTTAGCTTTGGTTTATTGTTTTGCTTTTGTTAAGGAACAACAAAACTGCATCAGTTGGACATATTCGTGAGTCTATTTCCAGCTCTCTTTTCTGTTCTCTGCATGTGTTTGTTTAAACTTTCTCTAGTATCCCACTGTCTTGCTTGTTGTTGCTCAATAGAGTGTTGGATTACCTTTCTGTTCTTCTCAAAGACCACCTGGGTCCAAATTCCACTGCCCAAGTTATTCGCTAACAGAGACACAGTGTAAGCCAAAACAGAAGGCAACTCCATGCAGTCTCAGTTTGTCCTGCGGACGGCTCCGTTGTTGGTGCTGCAGGGTGCAGAGACAGGTCACCCTGCCTTCCTGCCTGTGGGTTCTGTTGGACTGTGGGCTTGTGGTCATGGCTTATACCCATTGTGTGCCAGGATGCTACATCTGGTCTCCTGGGCTGGACACCACACTGGACTCAGTTTTAGGAGTCACCCGTGATCTGAGGCCTGTTGGCCCACGTGTGAGGCATGGTCCATTGCAGGAGCCCCAGCTGCTGCTACCGTGCATCTAATAGGGATGATGCTAGCAGCACTGTCCAGATGGACAGTGACACTTCACCCTGGAAAGTTCCTCATGAAGAACACTTTTTCCATCCACAACTATAAACTTTTGCTGTGTTTTTCCCATGGAAACTTTGCTGTTACCCAGACACACTGAGCATATATCCTCTATGTCGTACACCCCAGTCACACATGAAAACCCCAAATAGCGCCTCCTCTAGTTATATCCTTTCAGCAAAACACATGATGCCACTGCACTGGTTCTTGCTGGAAAATACTGGGTGCTACTCTCTATACAGCCGTTCTTTTTGTGCGTGCTCCTGTGCTGCTGTGGGTGCTGTTCACCAGCTGGAAGAACAACCGTGCAGAGTGAGCACACTGCCTGCACAATCCTGCAGGCCTCACAGGCTCAGGACACATGGCAGAGAGGCCACAGCTAGCTCGGAGGGCTGAGTGTACGGATTCAGCTCAACATGGCTGCAGGCACTCGGTCCTAACTGCCATGATTGCCCCAGAGTAGCCCCACTCCGTTTTTCCTGCACTGCTTTCTAACAAACTGTAAACAAAACCCTGAGAGTGGTACATGCAACGGTCAGTCCTGACACCGGGAACATGCCTGCTCCTCAATCGGAAGATGACCCAGCTCCAGTCCCACAAGGCTCAGTGCCCTTTCGTACTAACTCACGCACGTACCCCTCCTCTGAGCTGAGGTGTGGGGAAGGAGCTGCCTCCTGGTCACCCCCTCACCTGTGCCCCAGTGGATCTCCCTCTGTGCAGTCCGGATCTCCCTACCCGTCTTGTCTTTGGTCTCGTGGAACCTTGAGTCTGGTTCTCACACACCGAGGACTGGATCAAAGGAGCAGAAAGCAGTCACCCAAGGACAGGACCTGGAACACATTAAGGCTGGTTCTCACCCAAGAATGGGAGCTGGAAGTGTCCACCGGGACTAACACACTCACACTCACAGGCTGTTTGCTCGGCGCACATTCGAAATAACTCACACTGGAAGATCTACCTGAATTTTCCTTGCATTCAAAATATTCTGCCAAGACCATCATTCTCCAGTTCTTCACTTCTGCTTTCTCTCTTCTGACAGAGGTTGTATATTCTACGTACATGAAACTGCATTCCTTCAGGACACGGATGAGTGCACACCTGTTACAGGGTGAACAGGACCCCAAACAGCCGCCCTGCCTGCCCCGATTTGTTCCTCCCCATTCTGCTCACCAAGGTCTCCACTCTCGCTGAGCACCCACTGTGTTGCCCTTTACTCCTCAAGGAAAAATATTCAGGTCCCTGACTCATGAGCTCGAGGCGTTCTGGATTTCGCAGTAGTATGAAAGCTGTTTTGCTTTTTCTTTGCAGTGCCCAATAAATGACACAAGCTGATTACCCCCTCATCGTGAAGGGGACTGTGCACGATGGATTTGCCCAGCCTTAGGTCACTGTCAGTGTGTGAGCAGCTCTAAGGTACACAAGGTTCCCCGCTTTTCTCCTGGGAAGGTCGAGGGTGCCCTAGGAACTTGACCTGTTGATCCTGATGTGGTATGGAAGCTGAACAGAGAGGCAGGAGAAAGCAGGATGCCTGTGCTGGGGAATGCCTTTTGACCACCCAGAAGGTGGTCAAAGCCCAGAGTCCTGAAGCTGGTGCTTCTCTGCCTCCAACTCCATCTCACTACCAACCAAAGTTTGTTGCAGGTCCGTGTCTCCAGAAAAATGCTCGCTGGCTCCTGGAGACCTAACCTCCTTGGAGCTTACTGGTTGCTTTGGGTTTTTCCCAGCTTCCCATGCAGTGGGCTGCACACACACACACACACACACACACACACACACACACACACACACATTCTGTTTTCCTGGTATTTGTAGCCTTTGAAGACTGGGAACCTGCTCTGAACTTCTCATGGCTTGTTGCCTCTGGCCTTCGACTTGGCTCAGGGTGGCCTCTCTGTTCCCAGGGTTGATGATCTGCCAGAAATCACTTCCTCAGGGACACACTTCCCAAACCTTGTGAAGTCACTTACTCCACCCTTGTCATCTCTTGGATTCTCACTGAGGTGCTTCCGGAACCCTTGGGTAAATCTCTAGGTCCATCTGCAGGTCTTGCTCTAGACCCTCCCTTGAACTGACTGGTTTGAACATTATGGGATCCTTCTTTGAGAATCTCCCAAAGTACAATTAGGGGCCACAGAGCCACTCCAAACCAACCAATTGAACCTGGGCACTGCCCCAGGGCCAAACCCTCTGACCCATCCTGGGGCCAGCTGCCTGGACGCAGGGATGAAAAGGACTCACAGTGGATTCAGCTGACCTCACTCATCTCCTGTCAGTCACGCCGTCAATCAAGCTCTGAAAGACCCAATGGGAGGCGCCCGAGGCCCAGGGCACATTTCAGACCCGTAAGCTCATTCCACTCCCACACCATTTTTCCTGTCCTGCTGCACTGTTCTTCCTTCCCACCTGCGTGAGCCCACTCTCCCTGAGCACCCCTTTGCTTTTCAGCCTTATTAAAGTTAGCTGCAGTGCTGCTGTGTGCTATGTCCACTTCTCTGTTCATCACCCAGCCCAGGACTCCACACCCCATGGAAACCTCTTGGCGAGCCAGCCAGGATGTGGATGTAGAGATGGCAGAGCCCTTGGCTCTGATAAACTCAGTCCA